TCGCCATGCAAAAAATCCCTATCAACACATGTTGAAAGTAGGGAGTTAGTGCCACCTCGATCGTTAAAGCACTACCAATCTTCTGCTCATGCGCAGATCAAGTTTAGCATCATTTTAGTGCATCTGCGCATGAGCAGAAGATCGACAGTGCTGACGCTATGGCGTGCACAAACTCCCCAATTAAAGTGTTGCCAAACATCGATGTTGCCAAACATCGTCGTCGATAAGCGGCGGCGGCGCGGGCGGTGGGCCCGACGCACGCCACCCGCAGCGAGCAGCGTCCGTCGCGCCGCGTGACGTCAGCAAGGTCACGCGGCGGCACCGGCTGTGCCGTGGCTGGCGCGTCGGAAGCCGCGGCGGTGGCAGCCTCCGGCCGGCCAAGTGCCGCTTGTTATCCAATCATCACCCAGCCACCCGCACAGCCCGCCGCTCACACGTACAGCACGGGATCACGCACGCCTTGGCGGGGAGGGGGGAGACTAGGCCTACCGCCAGACCTTTAAGGAGGACACTACGGTGCAATTAAAATGTGACTGACATGTACAGTACGCTGTCGCTTTTCCACGGTAACCTCTATTCTTTTCTTCTGCTCGCTTATTACAAATGGGAATATGGCAGCAGAAAATGTACTATATGGAAAGAAACATATGACGACCAAGATCAGGTAATTGGTACTTAGTTTCCCTGGGCTTATGAAGTAAATAATGATTAGATGGTTATTTGCAGCTGCAACAGTCTGTCACGCGCAACATCCAATATCTATGTTAAATGATGCGTGGGATCTACCGTTTTATCCTAACGTTCTTTGTGAAAGTGTCAAAAAACTCTGATTTTACTTATCAAATAGAGTGGAAAATATCACAAATATCATAATCACTACGCGTGATACGTTAGTTTGTTCGTATTTGACGTGACAAATATCACATCTAGGCCGCTTGACTATTGAAAAATATTCCATTACAAATAAGACAAAATGTTTCTGAACCTATTACGCTGCTACGGATTAAGAAAATGGCCTACGTTTCGCCTAATCAAAAACGTTTTAGCATTATGCGAAAATATACCCATACGAGATTCCATCTAAATAAAATTTGTTAATGATATTAAATCACAGTTTTAACTGTTAAAAGTATAAATGTGATATATTAACAAATACGATAAATGTAGAGAATTTCTTTCAATATGTTCCATAAGCTTATTGCTGCTTCCATACTGAAATACAAAATTTTGGGTTATCCACTTTATAGTTCGTAATATTGATTATTCTACGTCATTTTCTGTCACGCCCGAGCAAAGAACATTTGATATTAGAGTGGAATATTATATTTTTTCTTCAACTTTCTAATTATCATTTGTAAAAGACATCAAAGATTCGATCAGAATTAAACATTAAATATTGAAGTCACGCAATTTCTTCGCCTGACATTATCAGTGCTCTTTTCCCTAGCATTCAAGGTCAAGAATGCATCAATTCTGCACCTTATTGCAAACATAGTAATCTTAAAAGAATGTATTGTGCCTTACCAATGAAGAGTAAATAGACTTCTCACAATAGTTGCATTCTCATTGTGTTCGTTGTGTAGGTATGTGACTAATATTCGTAAGCCATTGTGCATTGTATACGTCGATTGAGTATCAACATTCTCGATTGTCCAACTTCTGTAGTTTAAATTACGGGAATTTCTGGGGTACGTAAGAAAGGTTGGTGAGGCCCTTCCAAGAAAAGTATCACTACCTTACGGAATCATGAAATCTCGAATTGACCATTCTCAGACGCACTATTAAATTTCTGACGTAACTCATACAACAAAGTTGATAGAATTGAAGATTTTCTAATATATTAATGAAATAATATAATAAGAGAACATTTATTTATAAATGGACCATTTAGGAATCACAATTTGACGTCCCATAAATCAGCCATATCTCCGAGTACGAAAACAATTTGACATGATGATAAGCTAAACAAACTCTCAAATTATATACTGAACGGAAAAAATAGGCTAGTCAACATTAATGTGAAATATTTTAGGTGTAGTTCTCCTTAACCGTATTCAGTAGAATCGCAAAACCAACCTTCCAATGATAACGAGTCGAACACATTTATTGAGAAGAAATCGATACAAGTTTTTTATATGTAAGTTAACAAATGCAATAAAGTTCGTAAATTATATTTAATAAAAGCACATGTTTTTGGGGGATGAAATATATATTTGCCAAAGGTAAATAATCGTAGTTCTCATTATTTGGCAATCGCAGGCTACAAGAACGGTCATCGAATTTTCAGCTTATATTTGTAGCGTGGGACTGAGCTTCATTTCTCTTTCCAATGAAAACGCGAGAATATGATTCTCCCAAACACTTTTCTTATTATATGCCACGCCTTGACGACGAGAACAGACGAACGTTCTCTCAGTCTATCGTAAAAAAATCACCGAAAAAATATTCTCGTATTGAATTCTTAAATGTAGAAATTCAAAAATAAAATATCGATTGTATTAAAATTTACCCCGAACATCAATGTTTCTAAAACTGGATTTTTTAAATTAATTTTCACACTTGAAGATTTAATTTTGAAGGTAGTCGCGTTCATTCAATTTTAATTCAGATTTAACTGCAAAATCAGTTAGGATCAGGAAAATTAACAAAACTGTTATTTTATTGGATGATTCAAAAATAATTTAAAGTTCATTGACCGACGAAAACGATTTTATTTATTATTCACCCTTGGTTATTTTGGTTCGAATTTCCGAATATCTGGAAATCAGTATAGGTTTTTGTTGTGATGGAACTTTTTTTTATTAAAAATGAAATATGAAGCCTCTAAAAACACCAAACATAAAACATCGGCTTAAAATGATGCTAAACACATAGATGATTTTATAAAAAACTCGATGTTTTGAAAATGGATGCTAAAACATCGATGTTTTGAAAACGGATGCTAAAACATCGATGTTTTGAAAATGGATGCTAAAAACATCGATGTTTTGAAAATGTATGCTAAAAACATCAATGTTTTGAAATCAGCGACGTGGATGTCGCATCCCTACTTGGAAGACCTAGTCCACCCGCACGGTCGCAGACGCGGGCAGCGAGCTGGGCCGCAGCGGGGCAGTCCACCGCAACGCGGAGGCGGGCGCGTCACGCCGGTCGCGCGCACGGCGGACAACAATGCAGGGTGGGGCGGGGGCGGGGACGAAGAGGGGAGGGGAGAGGAGAGGACGGGTGGACGCGCTCCGCGTGACTGGCCCTCCTGCACGGCCCTCCCGCGCCGGCTGCACTCCTGCCCAGCCGTGCCCGCCTCGCCCCAGCCTTGCACCCGTCCAATGTCACAGTTACTGGGGGGAGGGGGGCATAAACAAAATAAAAAAGCTGCACACCGGATTGTCGAGGGTAAACAAGCAGATCTTCCGAAATATGATTTCAGTGGAACTGAAACTCCAATCAAACAACACGAATTTCTTGGTATCTCACATTTTACTTGTATCTATTAATTTTCTTTATGTACACACGTTTTAGATAATTTTGTTGTCAATGTTAGATACATCTCAACTATTTTTCACCATTCTGATATATGATATAGTTCCATGCAAAGAGAATCGTTCAACGGCCAATATTGATATGAGTTAGGACTCACAAAATAGGGAAATCATTCAAAACGGATTAATTTTGATATAAATAGCAAGGTTCGCGTTATGCAACGCTTTAATGTAAATTTTCTTGCAGAACAATTTTCAAAATCAGATAAGATTCGAAAGATTCGAATGATGGGTCAAGCGAGAAGTTGAGAGCAATTAAATCTCGAATGTATTTCAAGTTGACGATTCAAAGATTTGAATGTACCCTCCCTATTCCCGCATTCGAAACCTGCGATATATGAGTATTCTTTAGGTCCATATGTCAAATAGCGATTCTGATTAAGTAAAGATAAAGTAACAAAAATTGTTAATGAAGTCTTTCTAGGTGACCGTGCCCCGCCACATTTTTATTATTTATTTACAGCCACATATTCCTAGTGCTCTCCGGTTGGCTTAAACTTGCATCAGCACTGATGCTGCTTCGATCGCAGCGTAAGCTCAGCGTTGTTCCGTGATAATTTATTTTCTCTAAGAAACCCTATTAATTACTCGGCATCAAGTCGGATTAATCTGACCCTGCGCATGGACCGCGCTATGCAATTGCTAATCGTGGGGAACTGCAGATTAATTGGTCCGGCGGTAACGGGTGTACCCTCCCCAGAAGATAAACGGGATCAGAAAAACAGAACCCGAACTGCCAGAGATCGGAGGTCGACCCGTGCAGCAGTTTGTTGCGAGGTGAGAACTCGAATCGAACTGCCTGAGAGATTCAACGTGGTGCGCGAGGATGATCCGTAATCGAAGCCGGAAGACAGAACACCATGATCCAGAATCCAAGCCAGTTAACAGAAAGGTCAGGGTGATTGGAATCTTGAATAATGCTCAAGACTCCTAAAGAGTAGTACCGATGAAACTTAATTTGAGATCGTCCTGATTCAGCATTTATTTACACATTCAGTATTTATCTACTCTAGCAACAGCTATAGTTGATTACACTTTTGCATATTCACGTACGCACGAATATGGGTACAACACGTGTGTACTCGTGGGTGTTTTGAAAGTTCGCGAAACATCTTTTGCAAAGTCTACGTTTTTCTATAAAGTCTATTAAATAATTTTAAATGTAATAAACTGACGTACACTTTCCTTGCCTAAGTTTGATGAATATTTCCACGTAAACATTGAAGTCGCATTTAAAAACAATTAAAAAAAGATTGATGTATTGATTCACCAGATAAACTAAAATATCAAATTATTTACCGAGAATATGTGCGGAGAATTCAGTTCACGGAAAATTAGCACGAGTAAAAATCCATGCAGCGTTTCCGCAACAGGTAGTAAAAACTCGTTCACCACAAACACAGCTAAAGAACACATAGCACAACACTGAGCAAACAACAACAACAAACGCTCAACACTTACAATTAAGAATCGGCGTACTCCTTCACAAAGAGCGTCCACCGGCGCACCACAGCCACCAGACCACCACACACCACGAACCACCGGCACGTCTCACAACGGTCAGTACGAGTCAATCAGACACCCGACCACGGACGGGCTCGAGGCCCAGCACCACGGCACCACCTCACTCACACGTGGACGACCGCAGACGATGAGGTTCGCTCGCACACACGGCCCACACTGGCCGCCCGATCAGCCGAGTCGCCCCGGCGTCGCTCGCTCGCTCGCTGCCTGCCTGCCCCGCGCGCTCTCCAGCGCCCGCCGCCAACACCTGCGTGCACGCGAATGACCCGCCGCCAACGGTCGCCCCGCCGCCGCCGCGCCGCGCCGCGCCGAGCCGCGACGTCGGCTCTGCGCATGCGCGCGCCGCGGCCCACGCCTGCCAACCCACGCGCGCGCTAGTTGAATGCTCGGCGCGTGGTGATCATCGGGCTGTCATTCTAGATTTTCTTTCTCGTATGCTTACGTATATACACTGGCGGGTCCAGTGGGGCCATGGGGGCCACGCCCCCCTAAAACTGATTTAAATATTCACTTATATTATAATTTTGTATGTTTGCAATATTGTATAACGTCATGTATCTAGTACATAAATAATACACAATATTATAAAAAATATGTATTATTTAAGAAAAATCTACGATGGCCCCCTCCAAAATGATCGGCTGGATCCGCCCCGGCGTATGGAGTAATACACGTGGTATAGAAAATTGATGTAATGTGGAAAATCGATTTCGAGATTTTACCGGAACTACACGTTTTGGGGTTCCCTCATATCGAAAAAGGGTTTTTTTCAAAATGTCGTCTGTCTGTCCGTCTCTCCGTCTGTCCGTCTGTCCGTCTGTCCTATGTGTATCTGTACATCTGTATGGCTAGCTGCCTGTGTGTGTGTGTGTGTGTGTGTGTGTGTGTGTGTGTGTGTGTGTGTGTCTGGCTAGCTCGCTGGGTGGCTGGCTGGCTGACTGGCTGTCTGCCTGTCCGTCTGTCTGTCTATCCGTCCTTCTGTGAAAAGTACTAGTGCCTAAACCATTCGTATAGAATTCGTTTCAAAAATGAATATTCCCCGATTGTCCTGGCCCGACTCTAAGCTCTGCTATTTTGAAAAACATCATTTAAATTTTGGAGGTTCTTTACATAAAACCCCTGGGACATTTTCAAAATTTTTGAAAAAAGGCTCCAAAATGTCACCTACGCTCGGCGCGGTGCGATCGTGGCCGGCCCGTGTTTCTATTTATTATTAGAGCAGTTGAAAGAGGAGTAAGATACGGAATTGCTTAACACGGGAGTTTTCAAACCTTTTTTCGTCCTCGGTTCCCCTGACCTAACCAAAACTTCCCGCGGCTCCCTGGTAACAATAATTATAAGGATTAACATAGATCTACTAAAGATTCAACACAAATAAGTAAGTGATATAATACGCTACTTTATTTCTCCATTTTTATTACGTATGAAAATAACAGTTAACACATGTTATACAACGTTTAATTTTATGACAAAATTCTTCTAAAAATAAATGGGAAATGAGCTTTCTTTTTCATCAACAATTGTTCATATCTGGATTCAATTTTTGAAACTGCGACTTGCAATTCTTTTCGATGTTCACTTTCGATCTCAACAAAACACAGGTTGGACAGAGCTTGCGTGGGCACGGTAACTCATCTGCGTTGGTAGAAGGATTAAATATCCCCGACGCGCGCTAGGGCTGTACGTCGGTAATGAAGGAGCCACAGAAGCTTATTGGTAAAGAACTTGCCAGCTTAAATTAATCCATAATTAATCAGTAAAATAAATCATATATATTACAAATAACATATACTATGATTGTACAAAATTATTTTGTGTACATAAATGACACAAGGACTAAAGTAAATAAAATCTAAATATCAATTTTAATAAATCACCGCGACGCCCCTACCATATGGCCGCGACGCCCCTAGGAAACGCGACGCAAAGTTGGAAAACCCCTGGCTTAATCCATTAGCAGAATAAGCACCATAGGACCTTCAATTGTTAGGGTTCTCAAAAGATTAATTTTAAAAAATCGTATTAGTTCATGAAAAAATATTTTTGCGTATTTTGTTAACTATCCAAAAATATTTTATAAATTTAATTAACCTATAATTTCAAACTCAGATTAGTTAACCTCAGGTTTTTAGGAATAATTCATGATAAACGAAGCTCTACGCTCGATCACGTAAAATTCAGAGATGTCTAAAAAATAAGTTTAATGTTTCAATTACAGGATAGTGTTATTTAAAAATGGAAATGTAAAGTTCAAATTTAATTAGAGTCGTCTAACAATATGAATAAATCGCGTTATAAATTATAGTCATGGAATGCTAGACTCAGTATATAATTAAAGATTAATAAATTTTCCATCTTATCAAGAATAAAAGTTATTGCATGAGATTAATAAAACCAACCTGCTGTTCTTATCTTTACAACAAAAACAGATCCTGAGAATAATGATTTATTGCCTTTTATTGGAGGTAGAAAATTGCTCATTGTGAGTTCAGATGTAACTTCAGACTATGTAACATTTCATTCTTGAAATGACACTTTTAAGACATTAGATTATGGGCAGACAATAATATAAGCGACAATAAAACTTAGTGTTAGTTGAAGACGCAGTAATGTAAACAAAAATTTCCTTTGTTAATCTCAATTAATAGTTGTTTACGATGTTCATTCCTTTATCGCAATAATCAATTATTTATTTCTAAATTAATCGAGTATAATGGTAAGCCTACACGACAGTTACAGAATCGTATCATTTTCATTCATTTCAAGCCTGAACTGATGTTTCATTGCAATCACATGTTTGAACACTCATGAAAAAGCATCTTCCATCTCCTTTCCATTATGAATGTAATTCTTATACAGCCATTTTACAATGCAAAAGTATAGTCATGCAAAAAATATAAACTTACGCCGCTATTGTCACGTATACACATTTAGAGTCATGAATTAGTTGTAAATTTAGAATTATTCGCGAATTATTTTGAAATAACAAAATTCTTAGGAAATTCAAAACGGAATATTATTTTATTGAATTGTGCACACATGTCATTGACCGTTGGATACAGGAAAGCAGAAAATAGTGTTCTGCACAGTAGGACACTGTAATTCAATTAACATATGAATTAGTATTTCCATTCGTTCATTATTTTGTTTAAATACACACTGTAAATACTAATTGAATACTCAGCAACCGAGTGGAAATGATTAACACCACTACAAGTGCGCAGAAACAAATGAGTAATGAGAATCTTGAAATTAGTTGTACATGTGTGTAGTTCACATCTTGAAATCTATTACTTTGTAATACCTACAAATATATATATATATATATATACAAGCCCCACCTCCGCGCAAACCATCATAGTGACCGTCACCGCCACTTGGCCTCCTGCCATTACCACCGCCACTGCCACCGTCACGCCCACCGTCACCAATCTGCGTCCCGGCCGTCCGGCCGCCCCCACCACCGCCCTGCCCCCCTTAAGCCAACCAACCCCCCGTCCGCCCCGCCATCCCATCGCCACCCGCCAGCCCCGCCGCCACAGGCCCACCCACCCCACGCCCACCACCGCCACCGCCACCGCCGGGGGACCCGCCGGCGAGGCAGGCTTTTCCCACCTGCTTTTTTGGCCCTATATCAGTTCCCCAAAACCCCAACTGGCCGCTTTTACCCCCGAAGGCTGCCCGATATGGCGGTTGCGTTTGATTTCCATGGGACCTGGGAAAAACTCTCTGGGATTATTCCTTCTGTGCACGCCGCAGTGCTCGAGATCTCCTCTCTTTTGTG